AAACAAGCCTAACACATCAGAAACGTGCCTTGTGAAACTGATGCAATTCACCTATTTATTGTGTCACCAACAACCAAATTTTGCATATTCTAATTAAATTTTCATTTGCATTTGCAGCTGTCGCTGAAAGCATCACCACAAGGCTACTGCTATGCTAAATTTATCTAATAAACTATAATTGAAATATCTGTATAAGATATGTTATGAATAATAAGCACTACGTCGTTACATCATTAAAAGACGCATTTTATCCTCATCCGTTCCGTATTTTATCCGCATATCCGTTCCGTGGATCCGCTCCACCCGCTTCCGCATTTTAACTTAATTGTGACATGTTTCACAATAACAAGTTTCATTGACCTTTGACTTTTCCCAGTGTGACGTGTCTATTTTCAGCTTTTCGCATGTGTTGAATATAAATATCACTTTAGATTTCAATAGTTTCACAGATATAGCAGTGTTTAAAACATTTTTGACAAGCTTTGATACAGTTCTGTGTACAGAATACTACAGATTGATTCTCGTAAGATCTGGTAGAGTTATCGTTGCACTGAATACGAGTTTGCACTGTGCTAGACACTAGACAGTAAACAAAGACAAGGACAAGGTCCGTGAATGTACACGTTGGCTACATGTACGTCCTTGCTTTTTTCTTCTATTGTATAAAGCTTGTTGGCGAGCCAATTAAGCGATTAGCGATAACACGCTGGCGATAACACCTAAACACGTTGGCTATCTCCTCGTCTTTCTTATTTATACAAGGAGCTCTGACTCAACTGATTCCTTTAGTCTCGTAAGTTTTTTTCTTCGTAAACGCCGTACAAACGTTTACCCGCTTCTGTTTAATAGTTGTTTATGCTTTATTGATCTGATATAAATCTGATGCAATTTTTCGCTCTTTGTACTGAGTATAGCCATTTATTCTGTGATGTAGCACCTTAGGCCACATAAAAAAAAATAGTTGGTTAGCGTCCCCGCCCGCCCACAAAAAAGGCCCCGCTCAGGATTTTTTTTTATTTTTTATTTAAAAAAAAACGCCTTTAATATACAGTCAATGAGAATGTATAATGAATACACGGTCTAAATAATATCGACGGTAGGCTATAATGGCGGACACACGTAGACTTTTGTGCTCCGTATTTATGTTATACTTTCTCCCTCTTATGTTTTGTGTATACACCTCGGAGATTTTATATGATACTCCTTACATGGACGGAGTTCATAGTGGTTATAAGGGCTTATTTACGGCAAAGATTTATGGTAGAAAGTTCCTTCGACGACGAATAAGGTATTACTCGCACAGTTCTGCTTCGTTCAACCCATGTAGGCCTATATTGGTTCTTGAATTAAGTGGCGATATTCATCCACATCCAGGACCAGTATCCAATCCCAGACGTTCGGGTAAAGGTCGGCACACTTTATTGGTCTTAACAATCAATGCTCGAAGTCTAAACAACAAACTTCGCGACTTTCAGTCAATGGTGTACACGAGCGATTGTGATGTTGTTGTTGTGAGCGAGTCCTGGCTGACTCCCTCGGTGTTAAATAAAGAAATATTACCGAATGGCTATGATATATATCGCTGTGACAGACAAGATGGCAAAAGAGGCGGAGGGGTATTAATTGCAATAAAAAATGAGATTGAATCTAAACGACGCAAAGAGCTAGAATCGAATTGTGAAATTGTGGTGTGTGAAATACATATTTCCAAAGGTATGAAGCTAATTATATGCGGTTTCTATAGACCTCCCTCGAGCAAAAATGAATATTTAATGAATTTTGGTAATTCCCTCGAGAATATTGTGAGAGACGGTCTCCTGTTATATTATGTGGCGATTTTAATTTTCCTGAAATTGATTGGGAACTGCAAGTAGCACCTGGGGGTGACAACTTACCCAATATTTTCTGCGACATGATAAACGATGCTTTTTTGAGTCAGATGAATTATTCTCCGACAAGGGTTTCAGACTCAACAAGCAACATTTTGGATTTAGTTTTTACAAATCTGCCGGATCAGCTTTACGGTCTTTCAACATTCGATTGTCAACTGAATACCGATCATCTTGGAATTTCATTTTTCCTTAAGACAACTGTGAAGCGAACAAAATTTTCACGTTCTGTGTATAATTTTAAAAAGGCTGATTTCGATGGGTTAAGAGAAACTCTTGCGCACACACCATTTGAAATGCTACTCGACTGTGATGATATCGACCAATGTTGGGAAAAATGGAAAGATGTATTTCTTACTACCGCTGAAATGTTTATCCCAAAATGTAAGGTTAGAGATGCAAAGGCACCAAAATGGATAGATGGAGATGTTATCAATCTCTCTAAGTGTAAGAACAGAATGTGGAAAAAAGCTAAAAAATCTAACTTAACAAGTGATTGGGAAAATTACAGAACTATTCGTAAACAGCTAAAAACGTTGACTAAAAAGAAATATCGTGAACATCTCGCAACTATGCAGGATGAGTTAAAGGATAATCCTAGTAAGTTTTGGTCATTTTACAGAGCCACAACAAAAGCAGCCAGGATACCAAAAATTGTTCATCTCAGTGGGGAGAAAGCCTCAACGCCTTCTGCTAAAGCGGACATGTTCAACAAATTTTTTGCGTCCGTTTTTCAAAAATCTGACCATGGAGCAGAGATAAATCATGATGTGTTTCATCCTCGAGTTGACGAATTGCATAATTTACATGTTACTGTTGAAGATATCTTGTCTGTTTTGAAGGCCATTAATCCTTCAAAAGCTAGTGGACCTGATCAAATTCCTGGACGGATTTTAAAAGAATGTGCAAATGAGATTGCCCCTTCACTTACACAAATAATAAATCTTTCCCTTCGAATAGGAATGTTACCAAAGGAATGGAAATGGGCAAATGTTGTGCCAGTTTTCAAAAAGGGTGATTCTGAAAACGTGACAAATTATAGACCTATCTCTTTGCTAAGTGTAGTGGAAAAAGTAGTGGAACGTTGTGTATTTGATAAGTTTTTCCCATTCATAGCCAGTCGTGTATACCATCTTCAACACGGATTTATGAAAGGCCGCTCTACGGTTACCCAACTACTTGAAATTGTTCACCTTTTAACAAAATCAATTGATGAAAAGGGACAAACGGATATTGCATTCCTTGATTTTTCAAAGGCTTTTGACTCTGTGTCTCATTTGTCAATGATGGATAAGCTATACGCGGCGGGCATCAGAGGCTCTTTGCTTAAATGGTTTGGAAGTTACCTACATGACAGGAAGCAGCGCGCGAGTAGTACTTGACGGCAAATGTTCCGAATGGCTTGATGTCACCAGTGGGGTTCCACAAGGCTCTATTTGGGGCCAGCTCTTTTTGTTCTGTTCATTAATGACATGCCTGATGTTATTTCAGAATCCGGAACGCTCGCATTGTTTGCTGATGATGCGAAGTGTCTACGTACAATCAATTCAGACGCCGATTGCGTGGCTTTACAAAGGGACTTGAATAATTTAACTACTTGGAGTGCAGAATGGAAATTACCATTTAACATTGACAAGTGTACCATCTCTACAGTAACAACGAAACGCAACCCTGTTTCTTTTATTTATGAAATAGCTAATTGCGTTATCAAGAGAGTAAACGAACAGAGAGATCTTGGAGTTCATATAACTAGTAATGTTACATTTAATGAACATATATATATTCAGATAAATAAAGCGAACAAGATGCTGGGCTTTATTAGACGTACAGTTTCGAGGGAAAAGTGCTTATTACCTACAATGAAATCACTGTACTGCGCACTGGTAAGGAGTAACTTAGAGTATGCTTCTGAGGTTTGGAGCCCAAAATCAATCACATTAATTAAGAAAATCGAAAGGGTTCAACGCCGAGCAACACGGATCTTGTTGCCTGAATTGGAATATGTGGAACGTCTCCAACAGTTTGATGTTCCTCCTCTTTCACACCGTCGAGAGTTGAAGGATTTAACCACCTTTTACAGGATGAAACAAGGTTTATATAACTGTAATGTTGACTCCTACGTTGAATTCTGCTCAGACACAAAATTACGATCAACTGCCCAGGGGAAATTGAAAACCCGTAAATGCAGAACAGAACATTTTAGGGCAACTTATTTTAATAGAATAACGTATTTATGGAATAATCTACCTGAACAAATTCGAACTTTCAATGGTAGTGTGGCCATATTTAAGCGTTCTTGTAGAGAGTATTACAAATCTATACCGTATGATCCTGACCGACCTCGCGTTACTTGGGATCCATGAACTATCACACATTTGTAACATTATAGGGGGGGGGTTTGTACAGTTATTTACTTTTTTCGATCATTTTGATCGCTACTTTATTTTTGGTGGAATAGCTTAGCATGGTTCTATTGTTCCTTTCTATTTCTTCCTTCTGCATGTAGTTTATTCAGTTATTATTTTTGTATGCAGTAAAACTTGATTAAATTAAATTAAATGGGCTGATGGCGTGGTTGGATGTTGAAACCTAGTTGCAAACCAAATTCTTAAAAATGGCATGTTTAGCAATAATATATACAGCTAAACACTTTAGTCAAAGAAGCAAATAAATATAACTACGCCATTCTACGATGAAATCTCTAAGTATTCCCAGTCAATTTTAGCAAATATTTCAAGCACTAAACAGTAAAAAAGGCATTGCAAATTTCGTTAAAATTGGCGACGTCAATTTCGTAGCTACAAATGTAAAAAAAAATACAAAACAAAGACGAAAAACATTTACCTTGAATACTTTGTCGTGGCTTAGGCATGTTTTTAAAACAATTAGACCAGTTTATGCTTCAATATTACTCTTTTAAAGTGGAAAATATAGCGAAACAACAAAAATGCCGAGAACTTTGGC